GGGGGGAGGAGGAGGAGGAGGAGGAGGAGGAGGACGACGACAACTGTGGAGTTCTTGGTGCTCCCTGGCCTGCTCTCGAGTTGCCACTTGGTGGCTTTCTTGCAGACGTTTCACGACCCAACTAGGCAACATCATCAGTGCTAGAATGTCTGCAAGAGAACCATTAAACTCAGAGACCACTCAAGACCCCTCAGTTTTCTGGGGGTGCCAGTTCTCCCCTAATATTACCCTAGCAAGATCAACCCTGTGATGAGGTAGGCGATGTTGAGATAAGTGAGGGAACCGGCTCCGATCGCCGAGAAGAGTTCTGTGGGGCCTTGAACTGAAGTTTCCTTGGCGTCCTCCAGCCTTGATCAATGGATCCACCCCCCTCACTCCCCCTCTTTGAAATGAGCCGCCCGGGAATTGACTTGCAGGCTGTACCAAGCTGATAAGTATCCTTGCTCGCTCGATCATGCCGCCATCTATTTTATTGAGCATGTTTCCCATCAGTAGGAAAATTCTCTCGGTATTATTTCCGAAGATTTATCGGATTCGGCGGCTTTTGTTTTTTACTCCTTGCACTAAATAATGTGGAGGGGCTGTTGTCTTCCTTCAGCCTCGGAGGAGGAAAAGGAAAAGTACTAACTTCTTCGTTTTGAAAGTCCTTCCTTGTGATTAACGGCCTCTCCACCTCTGTAGATCACCCGGCAAACGATGCTGGATGTTGGAAATTGTACAGAAAGTCGAAGTCTTTTTACAAGAGAGAGAAGTCCCACCTGGTCAGAAGAGATCTGATGCTCAGCCAGTTCAACCATGAAGAGCAGAGATGTTAAGGCAGAGTGAAGCTGTAGAGCAGAGGTCTCCAACCTTGGCAAGGGGAAGTTGTCCTTTCAGACTTGCAAGATTCTATGAATGCAGCTTCACAATAAAGTTAGAATTAGCTTATCTACTAGTGTCTCCGAGTGACCAAGGATGGCTCACCTGGGCATACAGGTGAGAACAGAATAACAGAGTTAGAAGGGACCTTGGAGGTCTTCTAGGCCAGGGGTCTCCAACCTTGGCCACTTTAAGACTTGTGGACTCCAACTCCCAGAATTCCCCTGCCAGCAGAGCTAGTCCAACCCGCCACTCAGACAGGGTACCTAACAATTACGAGAACCTCGTTTTAAGACGGGGCTAAATGTAATTGTTTATGTTTATACAGTTTTGATCTTTCGTGACTGTAAGCTGCCCAGAGTTACCTTGGGAGTAAGATGGGCGGCCTCCGAATTTGAGAAATAAATACGTAAATTACGGTCGTACGCGAGCTGTCGGGATTGCCTTCCTCTCTTTCACTTCCCTCTCTTATTTCTTCTCTCTTGTTTCTTTTCTCTTAAACCCCCCCTTTTAACCAACCCTTCTTGCCCCCAACAACTTCCTTGAGGAAGAAATAGGTAAGCTGCATTCGCCTGCTTTGTGTATCATGGAGAAATCTAGAATGTCGGGGGGACGACACGGTGGTGGTGGGAGGGCAGCCCCCCGTCAAGAAATCTCTTGATTGTAAATCTAAGGGGAGGCGATTCTTTTAGCAATAAATCCCCTTTGATCAAGTGTGTGTGTGTGTGTGTGTGTGAGAGAGAGAGAGAGAGAGAGAGAAACATTGATGAAAAGTCTTGCCTTTGTGGCATGGAATTGCTCAGATATGATGATGGTGGTGTTATTGTGTCCATCTCTTGGCGAAATTGTGGACCAGTTCCTTCCACCTCTTCCAATCTTGCACTAAAGGTAGTCCTTGACTTACCAGGGTTCATTTAGTGACTGTTCAAAGTTACAGCCCCACTGAAAAAAGGGACTTAGGACTGTTTTTTCCACACGTAGGAGGACCCTTTTAGCATCTCCGTGGTCATGTGAGCCAAATTCAGAGGCTTAGCAACTGGCATGTACTTACGACGGTTGCAGTGTCACAGGATCCCCCTTTTGCGACCTTCTGACAAAGTCCATGTGAAGGTCCAGATTCACTCAACGACTGTATCCCTCATTTAAACCACTGCAGGGATTCACTTCACAAAGCGGGCAAGAAAAGTTCTAAAAGGAGGGCAAAACTCACTTAACGAATTCCTCCCTCAGCGACATAAATTTTGGGGGTCAATTGCAGTCGTAAGTCGAGGGCTACCTGTGAGTTCTTCAGCTTGGAGGATAAAGTGGTTTATTGGCCCAAGAATGGCTGAAACGTTCTGTAGATGTTCTTCTCCAGTCATGGACAAGAGGAAGCAAACGGACATTTGAACATGTTTTGTTCAGATATCATGGCTTGAGAATTAAACCTGGTTTCAGGGGTTGTCTTTGAAAACATTTCAGTCGATACCTATATTTTTATCCCTTACCTGTGGCATTCTGTCAAGAGCTGCTGAGTCAAGAGGTCAATATCAGTGAGGAACAACAAATATAAATAAAACGATCAAAAAGTAATGAGAGAAGAGAGCAGAGCTTTGCCTAACCCCTTCTTTTAATTCTAAGTTTTGCAATCAAAATAATTCCACCTTGGGTCTAATGTCTGGCACCACCGTGCCACAAAAATCAACAGCTACTTCATTCTTCTGCTGCTTCAAGCGGCTAGTCCTCAAGTTTGGACTGGAATGGAACCTGCCCATTACAGTCAAAAGTTTTAATCGCGTAAGTCTGAATTGTGGTGAGTCGAGGGTAGTAAATTCTCAAGCATGCGAGCCACGGTGGTCCCAAAGGCGCAGAATTGGAGAAGCTTCTTGAGTGAGAAGCGAAATCCCCCAAAATAAAGAAGGAAGTCCAGCTGCCTTTTGCAAAAAAAATACCTTTGGGACAGTCGTGAGTCAAGGAGGACCTCTAGAAAGTTCCACGGTGCTCATAGGAATTTTGGGGGGTATTTCCCACAGGAAAATTGCATGTCTTGTCCACTGGAGCATGATGTATAAATGCATTTGTTCAATAAATAACATTTTCCTGATTGTCCCTCTGGAAAACCTGCTTTCTGGGCACCTTTTGCTGGTGACGTTCCCTCTTTTTTCCCTTCTCTTAGTTTACACTCTAGTGCTCTGAAGAATTTTCCAGGATCACGGCGATCGAGTAGCTCCACTCAATTGGACGGTGGGAACCTTGGAAAGTTTGAATTTGAGATCACCGACTTCTTCCTCTTTGGCTGTCCCCTGGGGCTGGTCCTTGCCTTAAGAAAAACCATCATACCAACTCTTGACAGTACGTTTCCTGCAGGGGATGGAGGCCTTTTGAAGCCTCCTCTTCCTTTTCACAACTTTTGTGAGCGGAGATGCAAAATTGGAAGGCTAAAATTAGTCCTGAGGCCAAACATGAGCACCTTTTCAGAGTTCTTCCTGGCCAGGATAACAATTCAGGGTTGCACAGATTGCTGTAAAATCATCTCACCTAGACCTGTGCTTGCAAAAATCCTCTTCTCCACAAGACACAGGATCAAATTGCAGAGTAAATTTTGTGACCCTTCGAAATATTTTTATAAGCAGATTGATAAACGAGATAAATGAGCTTGGAAATAGCCTGCTGATTTTTCTTTTAACAGTTCTTTAAAAGACACGCGGTCCAGAAAGAAGACATTATGCTTTTTAATATACGTATGATATGATTTGTATAATACATCACGTGATCAGTTACATAATTATAAGCCATTATTTAGCCATGCCGTCACAATAAAATCTGGGGTGACTTTAAAATCCTAATTCTCTCTGCTCCTGTGAGCACCTGGTTGTTTCATAAAAACACAGGTGACAAAATAGTTTTGGGGTTGCCAACTGAGCACTGAGACCCAACAGGGTTTAAGAAAGAGCATCTTCTCCAAATATTCCTTCAGTTTCTGTTCTGAAGATGTAACCCGTTGATTTTAAACTATCTGGAAGAACTTTAGAGCCAATGAAAAGAGTTGCCCGTGAGATGACAGAACTGCGGATGATGGTTTCAGTATCCTTCCCCCTTGGCCAACTCTTTCTCTTCTCTCCATGGCTTAGTCTTCCAGTTGAGACCAGCCTGTCAGCAAGTCTACAACCTCTTCCACCCAGCTGATCCTTCGGCCTCTCGCTTGGAGCCTCTGCTCGAGAAGAAGTTCCATATTTTACCTCCCTTCAACATCCCACGTTACCAGCGGTTCCCTCTTGGGGATGGCAATTCATCCCTTCTGGGTAAGTTCATCCCTCCTCCCGCCCACCCCCCGCCCATTTCTACCTTATAAGTGAGCAGGTGATGGCATGAGTGGCACCTGCTTTAGATTCCTGAGGGGTCTCTTGCCAGCGAGAAGAAGTCGAGACACGGTCAAGATGTTCCTCAGGAAGCTGAGGTCCACATATTGTCTTCTAGGCTAGGGAAGAAGTGAATTGCACTTCTAGATTTCCTTAAGTCCCTGGTGAAGCTGGAGATTTGGAGAAAATAAAATCCAAGGTTGACGAGATACATGAGTCCCAGACTCTTTTTTTCTGTGGGACACAAGTAATGGCATTTTCCTAGGGTTTTCATCCTCGTTGCAGAGTCACCCTTGTCTCCAGCTGCCATAGATCCTTTTTTCATGTGAAGGACACACTATTCTGAGTCAGCCATCAGGAAATAATTGCTGTCAAGCTTACGTCCCGTGGGGAATCTCTGTGGGATTTGCTTTTGAAATGTTCTCCAGCACAGTGGTGATCAAATATTGAATCTTGGGCTAACAAGCAAACACAGATGTCTGATGATGGTAGAATATTAGCATTCTCCCTATGGGTGTGTAGAAGCTCCTGGACTTTGAAAATCTTTGCTCTTAGCTAAAATCCACTTTCATCTGCTCAAGACTTCTTTAACGTCCAACCTGATAATTAGACCCAACCTCTGAAAGATGGGTGGGAACTCAACTGAAATGTTCATATCTTGGACTTCAGAAAAAACTTATGAAATTGGATTGATGGGTGGGAACTCAACCCAAATAATCATATCTTGGACTTCAGGGGGGGGGGGGGAGTACCAACCACAAAAGAAAGCATTCTGTATATCCCTGAATCCTAGTTTTATGCCCCTGGGCCCACGTGACCTGCTTTTTGGGTCCAGGACAATGTGATTAGGAGAAGATCTGTGTTTTGGACTATGGATCACCGCTGAACAGGTATAAAAGCTGGGTTGACTTCAAGAGGAGAACAAACAAGGTGGACAAAGATGGATAACTCCTTGACATTGTTCTCTCCACTGGAGTTCCAAGTCTGGATGTGAACATCAACACCACAGCAATTATGGTCCATCATCATTCTGCTGTTGCCTCTTGGCGTTAGGCCACCAGCCTTTTATACCTGCTCAGGCCTCACCCTGGTCTACCACCAAAGCTTTGTTTTCAGCATCCACACTCTTGTAGAAGATGGCGTTGACGTTGGTTGTAAGTGTCTTGTTCCAAGTGCTTGTGGCCATATGTCTCTTGTCTTCTTGTTTTTTTTTTATTTTCTTGGTTCCCTTCTTTGTTTTCTTCCCCGTCTGTTCTAGTGGAAACAGTCCAGAACAACCCTGACCTCCTCATTGAAAGCAACCTTCTGGCTGCTTTCCAGAACCAGGACAACTTCATGGAAACCAGTATCCCCGTCCCTACCTTGAACTGGCAAGACGTGTCCAATAAAACTTCTGGATTTGCTGAGTGTGTGTGATCTGAACCTTTCCCCCCATTTGTTCTTGCGTGGTGTTTTTGGAGTGGTGGCTAATGCTTGAACCTCCCATCCTGAAAGCTTTTCCAGTCTTCGTAGAAGACAGGCCCACGGAGAATGTCCCAGCTGTGCTGGAGGAAAACAGGAGGGATGAGCGAACGAACGAGGCAGCAAGGGGAAACAAAAATTAAGAATGGCCTTTTGGGTATTTCCTGCTGGGTTACATACACAAAGAATTTGCAAACCTTTGAGAAGGTGGAGAAGTTTCTGTCCCCGAGAAGAAACTTTGCATTGCTGGAGATATAAATCCCCCAAATCAATATCCATATCTTTTACAATCTTCCTCTATAGATGAACGTTTCCCATGTCGTTTCAACCATTTTTCTCAAGCTGGGACTCTCCAGATATGCTGAGCTACCGTCCCCCATCAGGAACCAGAACGTTGGCTGTGTTGGCTGAGATGACAGTAGCCCAGAACATCTGGAAGGTGCCAGGATTCAGGGAAAAGCTGCAGCAACATCTGTTTAGAAGCCAACGTTGGGTGGTATTTCAGTAGGATGTAACTCAGGATGATGTTGTTGGGCATGGAATTGTGGAAGTTCTAGGAACAGAGTGCCACCTTCTCCAGACCTCAAAGAATGGTCAAGTTGAGTTCTTTGGGTTATTTCGGTTTGGTTGACGTGGCCAGGAAAAGCCACGCTTGAGTTTATTTTTGCAGGGGCTGCCTCCAAAGCTACTTAATTTTTTTGGGGGCAAAGGCTGGAATTGAGAATGTTTCTTGCTCCTTTGGGAAAGCTTTCACGACCTCCCCTGTCCCAACAGCTCTCCTGCATGGCATATTTGTGAGCTTGTGGATGGCTTGTTTGAGTTTTGGGATTTATTTGGGTTGCCTTGCTCTCGCTTTCTCTCTCCTCCAACCCCAGCGAGGGACTTCAGGAAGGATCAGAAATGCCTCCCTCCCATTCAGATTTGGAACCAACTCGTGAAGCCCCTTTAGAGCAGGGTTTCTCAACCTTGGCAACTTGAAGATATGTGGACTTCAACTCCCAGAATTCCCCAGCCAGCATGGCGACCTTAAGATGTATGGACGCCTCTCCCAGAATTCTCTAACCAGCATGGTGACCTTACGATGCGTGGACTTCAACTCCCAGAATTTCCCAGCCTGCCCTGGCAACCTTAAGATATGGGGACTTCATCTCTTAGAATTCTGGGAGTGGAAGTCCACATATCTTAATGTTGCCATAGTTGAGAAAGTCTTGCTCTCCACAAACTGTGCCTATTGGGTATGAATCATCCCAGCACCCAGGTGGAATTCTTAGATGTTTCTGTTTCCTTCTAAGGAAGACTTGTTAAGCTTCTCTTCTGTTGGTTTCCATGGCTGTGGAGATCCTGTTTTGATGCTTTCACCATGGCGTCCATCTAATGTTTTGCCTTGGTGCTTCCCTACCAAAGCTTCTTCTGTGGTGTTGGTTCTGAGAGCTTTGATAGGATGTCTACCATGGTGGCATCCAGCCTAATGTTTGTATGTGTGCCTGCTTTTTCTTTCTTTTTTTAAAAAACAATTTTCTTGACGTAGTTATGGCATCCTGGTTGTCTTTGTGTGTTTGTGGTTGGGTTTAATACTCCCGATTTCCCCGTTTCGTCCCTGTAGCAGATGTTGTTCAGTCTCATGGTGGCGTCTTGGTGGAAAACACGTCCCCGTCTGCTCCCGTTTCCGCCCCACAGTTCAGAGCCTTCCGGAGAGCAAGTGAAGTGAGCACTGTCAGCCAGGTGTCCGGAATGGCAGACAGTTACACTGCTTCCAACATAGCCAACAGTAAGTGTTTTTCCCCATGGAAATGAGCTTCCCCGTGCTTAGTTCTCTCAACCCGCTGTGAAGATCGGCTGATGCCTTCTACTGCTTCTCTCCGAAGTTCTCCGAGCCTGGGAATAAATATGGAGCTTTTCAAGATATTGCAAAAGAAGGAAAGGGCAGAAGAGTGGTTAGCACCCAAAATGGATGCCTTGTCCCTCACGGTCAAAACAGCAAACTCCTTACAAATGCAGAGTTTGTACTGCAGTGTTTCTCAAGCTTGACACTCTTAAGATGTATGGACTTCAACGCTAGGAGTTGAGGTCCACTGTGCCTCTCAGAGTTGCCAAGGTTGAGAAACACAGCCGTATTGCAATAAGTAAGACGTGAAAATGTCCATTTTTTTGTTCCGGGTTCAGAGAATGTCATCTCCAACTCACTGCACCATTGACCATCAGAGTTTTTCAGCTCTGCTTTCTTACCTTCCCGTAATTCCTGAAACCCCAAAGAACAAAGCACAACCCTTGTTAAGAAGTTGTAACTTTCAAAAGTTGCTTCCCTTTTCCACCTCCTGTTGTGATTCATCAGCTAAAGCCAAGATCCCAAATTCCCAACTCTGAAGCCAAAGGCATGGTTGACTTTTAACTCATCTGACATATGGTTGAACGCATTCTACACCTCCCAATGCTAGAGGTCAAAAAATCTATGGGGCCTTTTTTTTTTTTTGGCATGGTCCCCCATGTGCTTTAACAAAAAGTTGTGTTTTATTTTTGTGTTGTCTTTCTCCGTCTCTCTTTCTCTCTCTCTTCGAAAATGTGATTCCTTTTAGATAAAAAACATCATCTCAACCACTCCAGAGGGTTTAGCCTTCTGGCTCTCCTAGCGCTTCCCCACAAACCTCACATCCAGTCCTTCCCCCAGAGGACTGGGAGGCTCAAGCCCGAAAGATCCCTGAATCCTTCAGGACGAAGGTTTGAAAACTCCCTCCACAGGGAAACGGAGACCGTTCGCCTGATTCCAGATCTTGATGTCCACAAAGGTATTCTGGAGAGCGAGGAGAATGGGATCAAAATGGAGCAATTGCTTATCTCTTCTTTCGCTGTCTCCAGAACCCAGAAATCTTCTTCACGGGAGGTCTTCCTCAAATCTTGCTGTCTATTTAACAAACCACTCTTTTTACTCTCGTTCTGGAGATTAACCAAACATGCTACTAACAGCCCATCATAGAGAGTCAAGCTCATTCCGATTCATCCTAACGTTCTACACTACACGTCTCCTCCGATTATCTTGTCCTCTTGAGTTGTTTCTTGAGAAGAAAAGGCTGGTTCTTGACTGCCCTGCTTTGGAGAATTCCTTAAATACTTTGCGAGCCTGAAAAACCAGAAGTAGTTTGGCTTGGAAGCTCCCGCTTTGCTTTCCCAACTGTCAATTTGGACATTGAGAGCTCGGCCATATGTGGTCCCACTCCATATTTGAGTGTCTTTGTCTATTATCATCATTTCAGAAGTGGACTTTTCCCTGGAATTAAGAGCAGAATTAAAAGAAGGAATTGAATGAAGCCCAGGAAAGTCACTTCTTGTGAGATGGAGGCTACATAAATTTGATTTAGAAATTAATCGACCAAGCTAGCTTATTTTTCTGGACATCAAATCTAGGAATTCTGCTTACAGGCCAGTCTTTGACCTTTCCATTTCAATTTCCAAGAATGATAACACTGAACAACAGGTGGGAGCTTTCTTATCCAGACTAGCCTCTCTCTGTCCTTTCTTTGAGGCTTTCTTTGGCTATCCTGTTGTAAGATTCAGAAATAGGCTCCTGAAGGTATGTTCTCAAAAATCAAAGCCGCAAAGAAGGCCAATCTGATGACTTTTCCAGGGGTGGGTGGGACAACTCCTCTTGAACCTCCCATGGTCCGAGAAAAGCCATGGCCAAACATTTCATAGGGCTGATGTGGACAAACCAGGGGAGTTTACTGGGCCTTCTCCTGGATGGTCTACGGTCTTGGGAGTTGACGGAGATGGAAAGATGCTTTGCAGAAACCCAACGGGATTTCTTTCTTCTCTCAGTTGCGGCCAAGTGGTGGGGAACCAAAAGGATTGACTATGCTCTCTACTGTCCGGATGCGCTGACTGCCTTCCCCACAGTTGCCTTACCACACCTCTTTCATGCCAGCTACTGGGAATCCACAGACGTGGTCTCCTTCCTCCTTAGACAGGTGAGAACCCTCCTGCCAATACCTTTGGGATGGGATTCTACTGGTTTGGACCGGTTTGAGCGAACCGGTAGTTCCAGTGATCATTTGGCCTCGTCCCTGCCCTTTTCCTGTGCTTTATTTCCTTGTTTTCGAGCATAGCTGATTCGCGCGGCAGAGTGGTTTGCCGTGCATCAGCTGTTTTACTCACCGGGATGCAGCAGAAGTTAAACATTATAGCTAAAAATGGTCTTTTCTAAATGCTGTGCGTACGCACGCTCACTGAACCGGTTGTTACACCAGTTGAATCGCACCGCTGTTCTCATCCCTCTGCTAGCAAACCGTTGCCCATCATGGACTTAGTGTGAGATCTGGACTCCTTGTCCATTTGTAAACCGGGCTTTGTGTCTTTGTGGGTCGTGCCAAGGTGAGAGCCCATTCATCAGAAGTGGCACCTCGGCGTGGGCAAACCCTGTTTCATCTTTCAGGTGATGCGGCATGAAAACGGCAGCATTCTTGAAGTGGACGGGAAAGAGATCTCCGTCTTCACGCCTTCCAAACCCAGGGAGAAATGGCTTCGTAAACGGACTCAAGTCAAGCTACGGGTAGGTTGCATTCATCACCCCCATCGGTCAGCGTTCCAAATTGGGATGGGGGGACACAGAAAAGGATAAAGCCCCAAATTACACCTTTGTGTTAAGAATCTGGGCGAGAGTGGTACCATTGATTCAGCGAGAAGGAATAATAATAATCATAACTGGCTGACTGCGCAGATATCACATCAAGAAATTGCAGTTTGCTGCAATAACACCAGCGGAACTGCAAAAAACTGCACTACTCGAACTTCATACATTTTAAGAAGATACTTGGTTGTTAACCGAGTTTCATGTTTAATGAATGAAAGAGATTATAATATAATATAGTGCGTAATGGGGTGCCTTTTTAAAAACTAGCTATCCAATTAAAGCTCTTTTGCTAGATTACCGTTTAGATCTGGATTTTCCTACCGAGCAAAGAGACAGAGATGAAATATTTAATTTATATAAATTCAACGCAGATTCATTTCAATTTTGGGGTACTGTGAAAACCTGACAAAAAAGCAAAGCCAAGAGGGGAGAAATCCTGAATTTTTGATTGCCAGAGAAGCCCAATTCTGACAGTCGAGGGGAACAGTGTGTGATCCTTGATCATTACTGAAGTTTTGTGAGTTTTTAAAAAAATCTATGAAACAGTTTGAACACGATGGCCACGATCAAGTGAATAAGCAAAAGGGTACAAGATGGAGCTGCAATGTGCAGAGCCTGTTGTATAATCCAATATTTGTCAGTGAGGTGAAGGTGGGGGGCTGACAGACACCCTGAGAGTTGAATTAAAAAGTAAATTTAAATCAATGCATCCACTCAGCCAGGCAGGAAAAAGCTCCCCGCTTCAATTTAAATAAAGCTCCGTGCCCAAAAATGATTAATGGCCATCCAGACTCATTGATCACCCTGCATCAACCAGCAAACCAGGCAGAGTCGAGAGTTGTGTATGCGTGGAAGACGTTGAGCATACAAAATCAGACATAAACTACCAGTATAAAATTGTCCATCTGCCATGGTGGGAATCGATGGGAATCCCAAACGCGACGTTTGCTTCTTCTCTTCTTTTCGCAGAATGTCACCGCCAATCACAGGATCAACGACACCATAGCCAATGAAGAACGGCCCCAGGTGTTAAACGGGAGGTTCATGTATGGCCCATTGGACATGGTCACGCTCACGGGGGAGAAGGTGGGTTGCTGATCTGGTCCCATGAAAGCTTGAAAAAGTGGCAGGGGTGTGGACCCGAAGAAGGCTTGTTTCTACAGGATCTCATGTCCCAGCTGTAATGGACTCTTGATGAATGTATCTTTTCTTTTATGGACACCGAGAACATTTGCACCAAAGACAAATTCCTTGTGTGTCCAATCATACTTGGCCAATAAAGAATTCAGTTCTATTCTATTCTATTCTATTCTATTCTATTCTATTCTATTCTATAGCGGTAGCATTTGTAGACTTCTAAAATGAAAGGATTGGTATGTTGTAGAGCAGGGGTCCCCAACCGCCGGTCCGCGGACCGGTACCGGGCCGCGGAACAACCCTTACCAGGCCGCTGGTTGCTGGGCGCCGCCATCTTTTTTTTGGTAAAAAAGCACTTCTGGTGAGCTTTTCCGGGTAGAAAGCTCACCGGAAGCGC